GTCCTTCACCAACACCTGGACAGTCACACCGCACTTGCCGAAACTCCCATCGGCCACCAACCCCTCACTGACACTCTTCCACCTCCTGTCCAGCGTCTTATTGCCATTTACCACAACAATGTGCAACGAGCGCAAAACCACACACGCCTGGCTCTCAATGCCATTGACGCATTAGCCCGCTTTCCACCAGCGGCCTACTTCACGGATCCCAACCTCGGCACACAAACTTCCCCACATCCACACACACAAGCTGATCCTCTACCCAGTTCTATTTCGCCTCTCCGATTCTATCCAATCCCCACTGCCGCTGCTAGGCCTACCACTGTGCAAGATGCCGCCACCCAAACCTTCCCACCTTCAGTTTCCATCATGGCCAACCCACTTCAACCTCTACTACTCCACGAATCACAGCAGACCATCCCTCGACCACACACACACCACCGCCACATTCAGACGGACATCCATGCCATCGTTCAGCTTCCATCTTTTGCCGGCATCATGCCAACACCTGAAGCCAATCAACCCCACATCAGCTGCCAACAAGCAACCTCACGATCGATGGCAGTATGTCAACCTCATTCCCACTCCCACAGTTACCCTTCCGGAACAACCGTACACACCACCGACATTTCCTTCCCCCATCGGGGGCACACCTCGCAACCGCCGCTCCAAGACACCTCCACGCACAACCACCCCCAACCGCACTCGGCAGCCGGACCCACGCACCGGCTCCCCAACTCCACATCGCACGGCACCAACCCCAGCTTCACAGCAATACCATGCTACAGTCCACCCTCTGCCAAAACGACCTCCGCCATCACTTTATCAAGCCCAACAACCTCCCGCCACCACTGAACCATTGCAGCCCGTCCCTCCGGCCACCGGCTGGCCATGTTTCCAAGGAGGATCATACACTCCGACCCCATCAGAGGCACCGCCACAGACTTCAGCCCCACCTACGCATCCCTGGCCAGCACATTACCAAGTCCCCACACAACAGCAACCTCCCCCCATCCCAACACAGGTAAGCTCTGCAGCTTTGGCTCCACCCTCCCCAGTTGTCATGCTCCACCCTCCTACCACACGGGTTGACATGCAGGGGCGCCCCCTGCCTCAGTCTCAGCAAGAGTACGATCCTCGCACTGATCCCTGGTGCGCGGACAATCACTGACCATGCGGCCGCTGACTCTGAGCTACCCACAGTGCTTTATCCGTTGATGATTTACATGCCAAGAACCATCCCTGACACCGCGGGTTCTTTTTCTGGTTTTGTTTCAGCCTGGTTTTTACGTCGACCATCATCTTCGGAAGCTAGTTTTCCCCCTGAGACCTCGGAGAGAGACCACCAGTTTCACCCTGCGCAACGAAAAAACCAGTTTGTGCCTTCAGCTGCCTTTTTGCTCATCAACTTTGATTATACTTGGACCCAGCCAGTTTTTGTTAACTTTTTCAGCGACATTCTCACATTGCCTTTGCGTGACACAACTCCTTTCAGTATTGGTCCTCTAACTATGTCTGACAGTTTCATGACTGTTTGACACTGCCATTTGGAGGCCACTATGCACTGATTGACACCTTTTCTTGACCTTTTCTTCCCGCGCCCTTCAGCTTGCTCAAACCAACAACCCGTGATCTTCGCCTCAACGATCCAGTGACACTTCGACCAGCCACCATGGACGCGCAGTGGCAACAATATTACTGGAATCATTACTTGCTACAACAGCAGCATCATCAGCAGCTTGCCAACCCAGACACAACGGTTTCACCTCCCACTGCAACTCACCACACCTACGACCCTACCGGCACTTATGGCCCACTCACTCATGCACTCCGCACGCATCAAGCCCACCACTCTCATCCATACACGACATCACCTTACACACCGCCGCCGCAGCACACACCGCCACAACAGGCACCACCGTCACAGCCAGAGTTCCCACCTCCACCACCACCACCACTCCCCACAGCCGACCCAGTCACTCCACCGCCATCGACCTACAAGCACAGCCCACCACCACCGCCAGAAGCTCTTCGAACCACTTCCCCACCTCACTGCCGCCAACATCCACGACCACCTGGCAGCCACTGTTCCCCCCATTTTGCGCACCCGCTACAAATGGGGCTTCCGCAAAGATTTCAACATTCCCTACGGCGTCGTCCACCTCAAAGAAAAGAAGCAATGGCAGAAAGGCCGCACCATCATCTCATACTTCCAGTCCCTCAGTGGCAATCTACTCCGCATCACCAGCCGTGCCCTTGACATTATCCTTCAACACCTTTACCCCCAACATCCCGGCCAAATGTCTATTCCCCAACTTTGGCGCCATTTCCACAGCTACATTACCCAAACCCCACCAGACATCTCATTGCACGCCACCAACGATGACCTGGTCGGCTTCTTTAACTCGGTCCCACAACACCGACTCATCGATGCAGTCCACTCTCTCATTCACCACTGGCAACAACAGCAATCCACACACACCCTGACGGTGGATGTCCAGGCTACTGGCAACCCCTTTCACCACTCCCACATTGGCAGACACCATCGAAAACACCCTACACAACGCACCATCCAGACATCTGATATCACCACCATCGTGGCCTTTGCCCTCAACACATGCATTTTCCGGGCTTGCAACAACACCTACAAGCAAATCAGAGGAGCTGGGATTGGATCCCAGCTCTCTCCAGCCCTCTGCAATGTCGCCATCACCCTCATAGAACATTCCTGGCATCAGATCCACAACAACCTACTTCAACACACAGACCTACACTTCACTTACTATCGATATGTCGACAACCGTTTCATTGTCCACAACGAACATTTCCTCCACCATCCAGACATTCAAACCCTCATCCACCACAACTTCTTTGACGACCCAGTGGAACTCGAACCGGTGGAGGACTTCCATCTCCTGGGTTTCAACATCGACCTCCCACAACGCACCATCACCTACATGCAACCTTCCCAACCCTGGAAAATCAGGGATTCCACCACCGCCGGGAGCCAGCGCTTGGCTCTGTCAGCCCTCCAATCAAGACTCCACACCATTCGAAAATACACATTTCCACCCTCCAGCGCTGAAGCTGCTGCTGCCGAGCTAGTGAGGCTCTATGTCCAAAAAGGACACAACCATCACGCTTGCCACCGTTTTTTGAAAAAGCGCCGAAGACGGCGACCTGTGTGTGTCCACCCCTGGACAAAGGGTTTCGTCCAACTGATCCACCGATCACCTTTTCCACCTGTGATTCACATGCAGGGGCGTCCAACTGATCCACCGATCACCTTTTCCACCCGCGAGTCACATGCAGGGGGATCAGGCTTCCAGCGACTAACCTGATCCAACGAAGCTGGGTCGCTGGAAGGGAAGTGGTTGAGGACGCTCAACCATGTACCTGCGAAGTTTTCCAAAAGCTGTTACTCCACTCTTCCACGGTTTGTTTCATAGTTCTTCATGATACCTCCCACAAACCCACCGCCACCTTGCGCCGCTTTGCAGCGGACTTTGCGTGTCAGATCGTTTTTGAGTGCAGCTGCCAACATTGTTCAACAATACGGTTTTTGCGGACTCATGCACCTTGCCGTTCCTTCACCTTCCTTCTCAACGCGGGAACTGAGTTCACTGAATACAAGTGTCAGAGTGTCAGAGTGTGTGTGTGAGCTGCCACTAGCTGCAAACACCAACTTGATGCTCCTTGAACTCAGCGTGGCCGACGCGTTACTTCGCCGCCCGCTGCAGATGCGTTAACTAACTTGTATGTTTTCAGTGTTTCCTGATTTGGTGCTGCTGCCCGACGATGAAGAAAACACTAGCATCCGCGACATCTTTGGCGGATTGAACTTGGTCCTGCTAGTCTTCGTGGCAGGTTGTGTTTTTGCGGTAGACGTTGGCGAGTCACTGGTGCAAGTAGTGCGGGCGGGGAATGCAAACTGCACTGGAGCGACATGTGTGGCAGGAGGTGGTGGAGTATTTTCATTTCATGATACTTCATGCTATTTCATATACTGTAAAACGCTATGCCTTTAGTGCGTGCTGCAAGGGTAATCTACATTCTGGGATGCTTTGACCTTGGCAGCTTCACTACTAATAACGAAGAGGTCGTATCACTCGCGGAGATTGGATTGCCTTTTTCTCTGGCGCGACTGCGCCCCCGCGCAAGGGTGATTCAAAGTTCGAACCAAACAAAATGGATGCCCTTTGTAGTTTCTTGTTACTGTGGTAGTAAGGCCAGGAGTTACTAGTAGCGTCCTTGCTCCTAGTAGTAAGGCCAGGAGTTACTAGGTTACTAGCGGCTTCTCGCTCCTAGTAGCGATGCCTCGCGACCAACCCAGTGCGGCAGAACAGCAGACCCGTTACACACGGCGGGAAGGAGCGGAGCCGCGGCGGTAGCGCGAACCCACAGTAGCAGCTTCAGCATGTGGGGAAAAAGACAAAAAACGATTCTCCATGCATCTCGATGCACTGCACGCTGAGTGTCGTTTCTTTCTCTCGCTTTACCACTTTCACTTCTGTTGACCATTCTCCTCGCTTACATTTTGCTGTTCTACGCACCACCTTCTTCATTCAAAGGCAAACGGAAGGGTAGTGCACAGAAAGGGTTTTGCAAAAACCTATTCTACTAACGTCGTGGAAGGCGCGTGACCTTCGTAGAACCCAAGGCTGTTCGTGGACAGTTCGTGGAATGGTGGGCCAGTAGGAGAACTGACTGCAACGAAATCCCAGAAACCTTCGCAGAACTTCGTGGAAGGTATTTTTGATGCACTAACTTTGTATAAGCGATTTTTGCTGACCCCCTTTCTCCACACACCCTCCGTTTAGCCTTCATTCATCTTTTTTCATCTTCCTGCCAGGTTGGGAGACTTAAGACGACAGTTTCAAGTGAAAGTATATAGTACAACATAGTACAACAAACTTGCCGCAAACTTGCAGATTAATTTTGGAACTGAAACACAACTTAAGCAGTTGGAAAAGTGATGCACCGCATTGAGGCTGACACTTATGACAGATGTGCGGCCCATTGCGGAGACCGACTTAAGTTTGGATGAAGCGGAAGACAAGATCAAGCAGATGCGGCAGGTACGTGAGTGGAAAAGATCAACGCAACTTCCGCCAAACCCCTCCAAGATCCTTGCTGAACAGTCGAAATTATTGGGTAGTGATAGGAAATTGTTGGGCTTTCGCATCGGTTTACAACTTACGATGCTGGAAAGGACGATGACGCAGACCTCAGTCGGAAGCGAGAGGACAAGTCTGGGCAGCTCTAAGTCCGAAACGGAAACCGAACAACATTGTGCCATTGCAATTCGGTTCAAACATGTGAAACAAGGACATGCATCCAGTATTCATATTCATGAATGTACAATACTATATATACAATATGATAATTGATAGGGGGTGGCTTGAAAGATTATTCCAGGGGTCATGTCACCTCTGGAATATGTCTTTGGAATAATTTCAATGGAATATATAATCTCTAAGCAAGGTAGTGGTCCAAGGTACGACCCTCAATTTCCGAATAATTTTTGGAATAATTTTGCAACCTGCCCCCCTATCCGGCTGATCTGGCCTGGCCGTGTCTGCACGTCATGACATCAATACTCAATGCCGCTCTTTTTTTGTCCCTGCAAAGCCAGAAGGTCTACACAGAAGATCAAAGAAGAACAGACAACATACAGATCACAGGACATACCACAGAGGAAACAAATGATCACCACCCAGTGGATTTCAACTCACCACACGAGGAATTCATATGAATTCACTTTTCTTAATGTTCTTTTTTTTGTGGAGCGTACTTTGTTGTTTTTGGGTTCTGTATGTTCTGTGGAGCGTACTTCCAGCAACTTGCTGAAGCAGTGGATTTCTGACAATCCAACAGGTGCCCTGAGGACATGTGGCCTGATTGAATTTGGCGGGGTCTCACACTGTTTACCGGTGTGCGATGGGGTGGAGAAAAGTTTGTGGCTTGATTTTTAACGTGTTGAGGGGTTTGTGTCTGCAAATTATTCTGCAAGGTGATTGACATATTGGAATACATTTAAATTTCAGAATCTATGTGGGCAGTGGTTAGGATATTTATATAATCAATAATTCCATGGGGGCTGTGACAGCGAGTCCCCCGAGGCCTCCCCCCTATGATAATTGTTTGTTTATATATTCTTTCCAAACGTTTCTTGAAATAGTAACAACATATGTAATATTGTTTCTTTTTGTTTCATCAGGGACTGCTATGATTGTCAATTGTGGCGCCCGCTGTGCCCTGGAGTCTGGACCGCAGGATCGGAACTGGCTCTCAGAGCGAGCAGCAAGGAAGAAGGGGCTGGTATCTATTGTGGTGATCCTTCCAGAGGCAACGGACAAACTAACTTCTCAAAAACATGAAGCGCGTGGATGAAAGACACCTTTTTGTTTTTACCCGGGGTAGATTTTTGTCATTTGTGATTACTGGATTGTTCGATCTGCAACTTAAAAAGAAGATCCATGTCAACGTCCCGGAACACTGCTCTAGCCCGCTGGCACAGTAGAGCGTCTTATATGGAGTGCAAGATTTATATGGAGTGCAATAAATATGTTTTCGTATCACTTTGGGGCTGAATTGGCAGGCCACAAGTGAGACATGCGTCGTCGGCTTTGTCAATGCATTTGGTTTCCTGACTGCACCAAAGTGGACCGTTGTTTCTTGCACAATTCTTCCAGCCTTGGACCCAGGCGAGCCAGTTGACATGAGGTCCGTCTTCAAACGTTCCACCGCCACTGTTTGCTTACACACGGAATGCATCTTCAACAGTCGTCGACTGATATACAGTAGCTAGACAGACATGCAATCTGCATGGTATACATATATATACAGACATGCATTTTGTGTAATTAGGCCAATCAGGCAGTACATAGGCGGGATGGAGGAGGTGATAGGAGCTGATTAACACACCACATTGCAAATACTGTAGCTTGCTTTGCTGCAACTACTCAACGCACTGCAAACTTGGGCATGCACACCATACACAAATGCATGTCTTGCTGCATTGCAAACTTTACCCACAAATAGTTTTGTCGCACAGTATTTGCAGTTTCATCGACGATACATGCTCGGGCACATCACTTGCATCACTACAGGTGCCGATTTTGTCTATTTGGCAAGAATGGATAGGTTTTTGCTGCCAGGACCTTACATCATTTCTATAGTCTATGCTTGCTAAAAGGGTAAGGGCCGGTAAGGGTCTTTCAATTTGTTTGTCCCCGATCCTGTAGCTTCATGAATGTATCCTACTTTCCCCAAAGCGACGCATCTGCCTGACATTATAGAGCGCTGGCACCTTTGGGTTCAGGTTAAGGTGCGACACATTTACAACAGCAAAGCTAAGGCTAAGGAACTCATGCCATGCATCAAAACATTCTATCTCCAAGGCAGTGTGCTTGTAGAAGAACTATGAAGACATCATGAATCCATACAAGCTATACTTGAGAAAGGACCTGTGAAAAGCTGTTGGTAGCAGTTTCGTTTGTTTGCAAATGATGTGCTCTTCTGGCAAATAACTTTGTTTGAACTGGAGGTATGACTCCGTCCAGAAATTTGCTGTTACAGGTCACAGCAGAAAAATACATATATAATCAAAGCAAGCACGATACAGCCCCTGGAAGTTACGAGCATTCAAGGGGATACACACTCTTGGAGTGATTTCTAGAATCAATGGTCACTGTTTTGTAACTGGTATTCGATGCAAGCACGTGCCGTGTCTTGCGACCAGACAGTGTTGATGCTTTGATGCGGACATGTGTATTGCAAGCCCTGGGAGTTTCATGAGTTCTTGATGCAACACGCTCTCGGTTCTCACTGTACTTATCCTTTTCGCTAAACACTCTCTTCGTTCGACAGCCACACCTTTGCAGTTACTGAGGCAAATTTGAAATTCAGTATTGTTTTACTCAGCTTGCTTCAGACTATTGAAAAGAAGATGTTGGAAGAGCAGGACATTTCCTTCAAACATGCTACACTGCAATGTCGTAAAGGGGATGACCGGCAAACAACAAGTTTATTAGCGTTTGTGCGGTGACAGTATTTCTTCCTGAAAGGACAATTAATTAGATATATTATATACACCATTTTGGTTTAAATGATCAGGTTGCCTACGCAAGGAATGCGTTCTACGTGGTGTGCGCTTCATTGGTGTTTCCACAAAGGAAATCGTTGAATGACATTCTACAGTTGATAGACAAGCCGTGACATTGTAAGCATTCAGTCTCATAGGTTGTTGACATGTATAGTGCTTGTAATTATTTTGTTGTTGCACTTCACTAATGGCACCGAACATGAACATTTGGTGCATGACTGGAAGTAGGAGTTTGCAACTGGAGTGCTTCGGTACATGAATGTATCCCTGGCGTTCATATACCTATCCTTGCCACAAAACACAGAGCACCTCCAAGCCCAAACTTGTCAGCTTTGGTACATTATTTAGAAACTGGCTTCTGTTACGCATTTCCCAAGCAGCTTTGGACCAAATGTGCTTTTCAGCCAAGTGCTTTCATGTCACGGGAGGGCATTGGCACAGAGTTTGCCATCGTGGCAGGTTGCTTGCACCTGCCGCGAGCAAGACTAAACCCGGTCGAAAAAGGAAGCAGTTGCCTCAAAATCACAGCAAATTTATCTTCTGAACACGGGTCATTTCTCACACGAAAGAAACGTGCACTAGTCAGCTCTTTCATTGGCTGAAGAATGACTGGCAACATGAATCTCCTGGTGCTTAGAGTAGCAAGGAAGGCCAAACACTAGGCATCGAGTGCGAGTTCAAACAACTCTTTGTTGAGTTGTGGTGTTCTTTTTTCGCTGAGCAAAGAGCGGTAAGATAAGGCTACAACGATGAAGTTGACGTCAAGATTGCAGAGCACAGGGTTGAGCTCTCAGCTGACAGCGCTAGGTAGGAAAGTGGATCATCTCATATCATCTCTCAGACAAGCGGCATGTCCTTTTTAAAAACCATTGTTGGTGTCGTGGAGGAGGGCAGTTGGAGCGAAATGGGATGACATACTGTAGAACACATGTGATTACTGTATGTGGTGCTATTTTGCGTTTTGCTGTGCTGAATCTGTTTCACGATTGCATCATTCAGATTCAGAACACGCATTCACATCTGTGGCACCAGTGCTCAATTGCTGTGACCTCGCAGGGTGGTAAAGGTACTGGGATCATTTCAGTCACTGTTGTTGTATCACAAAACCTTGAGATTCGCAGACAAGTTTGCAGACTGAGGAGTCATTGAGACAACTCTTCGCGACCTACAAACCTGCAGTGGTCGGGACCCTACTAGTTGTAAAGAGCACATGAGGTGAGTACTAGTATACATTATATACATTCTTGAATTATCAGTGTTTATGTGATAGAATCAGAAAATATTTCGATTCTTTGGCTCAGACTCTCACTCACTCTCTATACTGTGTTTGCACATTTATTTCAAAAAATCACCAGACGCCTGCAGACGTTCTGTTGAGTACCTGCTCAACTACCTGTTGAGTACCAGCGATTCTCATAGTGACAGCTTTTCATGACGGCCTTTCACAGGTGCTACTCGCCATTAGTGATTCCAACATACTGAAGATGAAGGTGCCGCCGCCGGTGTCACTGCTTGCCAGCGCTGCGTGTGCTTTCCTGCCAGAACGACCTCGAAGACCTGCTGTACAGAGATCAAGATCTGCTGGTCGAGATCTCAATGGGATCCAAGTCCTTAGCTGTTACAAGGATGAACAGCGATTTTTTAGACCTGTTCTGAGCTGTAGAATCCCTGGACATATCTCTTGCTTCTTGATGTTCCTGCATAAGTCTGTTTGGACCGAGGTTCATTTCAAAGTGCTGCCCAGGATCCATTATGTGGACACGACAGTGCGATAACCTTAGTGAGTGTATAGCCTTTTGCAATAGCGTCAAAGCACATCATTAGCTTCACTTTGGTCCTGTTATGATAGCCTTTGTACAGCCCTCCTCCATGATCAAATCCAGGCAAGCAACATCGAATGACAGGATAGAATTTGTTTATCCAATCAGCAACAATCCCAAGCTGGTGCACCAGCGATGCATAACAGATGCATGCACTTGGGATAATGTTGATATTAAGTTTTAACTTTGGAACAAGAGTCAGGAGTCGAGACGTAGAAATACTATATACCCATTTGCTGTATCTCATAGTATCGCTTAGCTAGTTCGGTTTCACTGTGGCTGTGCATTCCAGCCTTAGTCTAAAGCACATCCCATTATGTGTTTTGTGTTTTTATGTTTGTCAAAATGCTCCTGGCGGAAACAATCACATTGAAGCCTTTTCACACTTTCAACTTCCTTTACGGAATGTTTGCTGTAGCTACATATACTTATGCGTGACGTATAGTTTAATTCCTTTGACGGAACTTAACCGACCCTCTTCTGTGCTGCATCGCTCTGACTAGTTATACTTGATTTTACCATAAGCATAAGCTGTCGTTCTACTTTTTTCTATGTCGTTCAAGCAAATCTATGCTCTTCTGCTCTCCTCCTGTACTTATCAAGGACAATGAGCCTGTGACAATGGGTGTGCTGCTGTTTAAATGTATAGCAGGATTGACCTGCAGACTACAGAAGGTTGGAATCTTCAGTTCATTCACAAGAAGCGTGTTCACCTGAAACTGGTGTGTTAGTATTTGCTCTTGGCCCAAAACATGCATCGGTCATGCAGCACAGTGAACCAAGCAGAATGCAAAGATTTGCAAACTGGAAGGTTTCCTTGACAATGGCATCTTAGGCCTCGAGCTGTCGCGTACAACAAACGTGTGATGGAATCACGCTTCGGCCTGAGCTGCGCTGTGCTTTTAAAGAGACGTTCCTGACTCGTCAGACACTGAACAAAAATGACATACTCATGGCTGTCCTCTCTGCCTGAAGACATATTTGGAGTGTAAGATCATTCTGGAATGCTTTGAATCATATTGCCCCCCCAACTTAGCCTTTTGCATCTAGCAGCGTCGCCCAGCTGCCTACCGCGACTACACCATTCCTTCGCACCGCATGGCCATCAGCTGTGCACGGTACCACCAGGAGAGTTGACAGAAGGCACTGAAGCTTGAGCATGCTTTGTTGTATTGTAGTCTTTGCATCAGGATGCTCTCGCTGAAACTTGCCAGCTTTGGCACGAGCTTCCTGATGCAAACGGCCGCCTGGCACATGAGTAATGCGAGCGAACGAGGCTTTGTGCATTCCACAACCAGAAATTGAGCGGGAAGATTCAGAAATTAAATGCAAAACGGATTCTTTGCTTTCCGCGTTTGGGCTTCGCAAAAGATCTGAGCCGCAGCCGGAGTTCAATACCACCTTCTGCATGTGCTTTGCAGCCAAGGCATCCTTAAGTTAGCCTTGCACCCTTTGCAAGCAGATGTTCCCAAGGAGACAAACCTTTGTAAGCCGCTGATGATTTTTTGCAGGTAGAAGTTGCTTGTTGTTGGCGGTCTTGCACTTGGCCACGCTGCATTTGCCCGCAGACAGTTGCTGGAGGAGATGATGGGCCGGGCTATCACCCGAACTTTGCAGGAAGTCCTCAGCAAGTGTGGATTGCAAATCAATAAGGCAAGATACTGCGAGCTGTTGCGTCTTGCATCGATCTTGTCCCTGAATCCTATGTGGTATGTGCTGAACTGGTGAACTAGGGGCTGCATTACTGGATCGGGAAGTGGCTAGTCGGCTAGTTTGTTCACGTGGACCCACACATATCCAGCAATACTAATGCTGGTTTCAAGACCCACTTGAGATCGGTGGGGTAGAATGGGTTAGCAACATTCAACTCTTACGTCTCAAGAGTTTGCACACCTATTGTGTACAAGAGAAACCTGGGCTCAGATTTGAAAAGGTTTGACTGCCGCGTGAAGGTTCGTAGATCTCTGCATTTGCAAAGCTTGATCCAGTTTCTCCCTGGGCGAGGAGCTCAACTGTGTGCAGAGAGCAAGACCTGTGAGTTTTGTAAGTTGGAAAGTCAATACATAATGTACTGGAGATAGCGAGCTCTACAATGGGAGTGAGGGATGCTGGATTCCCGTTGCTTCCAGACTGCTAGCACATTAATCACAAGTTATTAAAGAAGTTTCCCTAAAATTCTAGGTTAGGAAGCAAATCATTATATATATAGTGGAAGCCCGAGCTATCCTGCGGCCAGTTACTAGAAGCGAACTTCTCCCTTAATTAAGTAGGAGCGTGCTAAAAAAGGTTTTAAGTTACTTGCATATTTAGCTACTCGTTATATCTCGTTATATATATATATACACAGCATGCAGCACACACACACACACACATGGTTCCTCAGGCTTGGACCACGAAAGGCCAAGCTCTTCATGAAAACCTTGGCCAATCCTGCTGGAGCCCAAGGAATGTCGAATTCATGGCCAAGGGCATCGCTACTAGTAACACAGGGCATCGCTGCTAGGTTACTAGGAGCAAGAAGCTTCTAGTAGCTCCTGGCCATACTACTAGTAGCATGAAGCAACTAGTAGCGATGCCCAAGGGCCACTTTGTACGGGTTCTATCTGCTATCTGCTATAATCTGAACAGGTGATTTCGCTACAATGGATTCTGGGTGGAACCGTGCGTCTTAAGTTCCATAGCAGCTGATACCTGGCCCGGCCATATTACCCGCCGCTCGCACTGGATTTTGGCAGGTGTTTGCACCTTGCCGACTCTGATAGCAATGGAACCTATTAGCACAAGGAACCTGATAGCAATGGCCTCCAACCTAATCAATAGCAATGGCCTCCAACCCAATAGCGATGGCCTCCAACCTACTATCGATGGCCTCCCACTACCTTCCACTACCCGTTGCGTCCTTGCTGAGATGTAAGGATGACAGCATAACCTTTTTTCCTGCTAGTCTTCATCAGGCGTTTGAAGAGTTGCCAGGATTTAGAACCTTAGTGGTGTGAAACAAACAAGTGACTCAAGTGACACTGCACAAAACCATGCCAAGCCTCGGCCTAATGCGAAATGGCCTCAGGTGACGTCTAGGCAGACAGTCGTGGACATTCTGGCAAAACATCTCAACATTCAGGCGACAACAAAAATGAGATGTTTTACCGCAACTTTGGGAGACAAGAGACTTTTCACCGAGTTGGCAGGGTTCTTGTTCATCTCATTCTGCAGCGCAAAGCATTTAAGTTCTGCAGAGCCGTTGTCTTGCAATTATATATAATATATGATATACATGCAAAGCATTGAAGCAGAATTGAGCTCAGACAAGTCCTTTGCAGGACAAAGTGCGCAACTCTGTCATTGAAAACATACTGCCCTTCATCAAGTCTCTTGGCTTTGCAACCATGACAAGATGTCACCGGGCTCATCACAAAAGCTAGCCTGCTAGCAGCTAGTAGGATCTGTTTTTGCTTCAGCCATCAGTTGTCTGGCAGCTTTTGGACCCAAGACCCGAGTATATCACACCCATCCTTGAACGCCTCAAGTTTGGCTTTAAGCCTACCCAGCCAACATGGGCCACCCACAACAGACTCAGCGTTCACCCAGGATTGAGCCAGACTTCCGTGATGCGTTTGATGAGGAATACTCTCCAAGTACTGCTCCAAGCTTGAGAGCTTCACCATAAAGAGAAACAGCTAGTAGCGTCCTCTTGCTCCTAGTAGCTGCTTGCTACTAGTAGCGATGCCAGGAGCCCCTAGTAGCGTCCTTGCTCCTAGTAGAGATTCCCTTTGCTCCTAGAGGAAAGCATGATCTTGACGGATCTTGTTCCTCTTGATCACGTGTCCAAGCCGTTCTCTTTCATTTGAGGTTTGGACCGGCTTCGCATTTCACCAACCTTCGAGAACTGGGTACGCTCTTCCGGGCAGATTTGGCAGAGATGAGAGAACCTAGCTGGGCTGCAGACTTTAGAATCTCCCACAGATAGACGGCCTGCATGCAATTGGGTTCAAAGCACTCCTGCGCAACTGCAGACACGTGGTTCTGCCTTGGCATGGTCTGAACATTGGGAACAGTAGGGTCAGGAAGAACCATGGAGTGGAATTGGCACCTGAAGCTGTACAGGCCACCGCGTGTCAGAGATGTGATTAGATGTTTCACTGAGATTGAATTCTCCCCATATCATTGTATGCTATTGTGTACACTTACACAGTTTTGGGCAAAGAGTGAGCGGAAGCGATTCTGTAATGGACCATGGATGATCTCGGAGCAGTTTTGCATAGCATTTGTCGCTTCAAATGATGTATAATTGTGTCCTTTTTGCAGGTGACGGCCTTTTGTCGGGAAGCCCTTGAGGGCCAAGCCAGCGATCTCTTCGGCGAGTCCGAACTTGAAGTTCGTGGGACTGATGAGGTGCGAATCCGCTTCACCAGGAAGAGATCCAAATGTTGAGTTCGGATGGATTCCGTCGTCAGCGTTCAAAAGGTGATGCTTCCTAAGTCTAGCGCCTTATCCATTAGGCCACGGCACTATACGGCACTCCTGCTTTAATAGGACCGATTGGAATATAGTATAAAAAGAAGCATCAGCGCGCCCAGGGGAAGCGAACAAAGTGAGTGAGGTAAAAGTGGGAACACATTTATCTATGCTTGAAGATCTGGGCAGTCCCAGGTAATAATGCAATCTGCTTTGACAGCATTGCCTGCATCAGCTAGCTTGATGTTGAGTTCGAGATTTGTTTGAGTACTTTTTTCACCTCAAAGCCAGATATAGCACCAGCGATACACCATGTGTCGAATGGTGTTGAAACAGGTTTAGCTTCATCATGCTAAATTCCTGTTTGGCCCACCTAGGAAAGAGGTGACCTTGAGCTACAATCTTCCTATATACTCTTATTCTGATTGTCGTGGCCTCTTTCAAATTGTTGCCAGATCACATTGAGATGCCATTGGTGACCATCATGTTATGCCCAGTTAGGCGTCAGCACGGCGTCCCAGAAAATTAGTCCATAGACCAGAGGGCGACGCATGGCTAATCACGTGCCCTCTATGCCCTTGCTCCCTAGTGTAGGGTAAGCCAGTGAGCGTGTGGGTGTGCACCCGGATCACTTCTTCGGTTTGACTCGAAGAGAAGAGGAACTATGTGGAGCTAGTCGGAGTAGTTATTTGTTCTCAGGATTTTGTGCAGGTTTTGCTCTTTGCTTGTTCATGTTCCTGCCATGCAAATGAAGATGCAACAAAGTAGAGTAGAACCTGTGAATCATTTCAACTCTGGAAGCTTGATCGTTGAATGCAGTCCCCTGAGCACCTCAATCCTTTGACCAGTAGTTTTGGGTTACCTGTGGTATATATGATATGAAACAACTTTGAAGCGGGAGGGTCCGTGGTGGTGGTGATGGTCTTAAAAGGGATACCGTGAAGGAACCATGTCTTTTTGTTTGCGGTTCTTCCTTTTGTCATCTTTTGTCTATATAATTCCCCAAACCGTGTGTTTACACTAGGGGTTCTTACGGTAACTGTTAATGACGGGTGTCTGATCGGAGGTGCTCATCGGCGTGTCCTGCTAATTCGCTGCTGGTACATTCATTCCGAGATCTTCGAAGTGCATCCCGACTGCGCAGGCTCACAGAATCTGCTGGGCCCGAGCGGGGACATGTTTTCGGAATTGGTGATCACATTTCGTGGCAGGTGCAAGAGAAACCTTGTATTTTGGATGTCTACAGCTGACTTTTCGTGACAGGTGCAGGATGAGATCGGAGCGGCTTTATGTCGATGTGCAGACTTTGTGGCAGGCGCAGTACTTTGGACATGGTGGTGGTCTTCGGCCTGCCTTGTTGTCGCGGCAATCGCAGTGCACTGTGACTTTTGGACACGTGGCTCGCTTTCACAAATCGGAGGAAGTCTCGAGCGAAAGCTGCGTTTTGATGTCACGTTGTCTGTAGAGCGATGTGAATCTTGCTGTAGATTTCGTGGCAGGCGCAGTACTTTGTGGACCTTGAAGAGCAGATTTCGTGGCAGGCGCAGCGTTTTGTGAACATTGCAGTGTATATTTTCGTGGCAGGCGTAGCACTTTGTAGACCTTGATTGAGGCGCACAGGCGCAGTGTTTTGCCGACTTTGAAGTGCAGATTTCGTGGCAGGTGCAATCTTGTGGACCTTGAAATGCAGATTTGATGACAGGTGCAGCACTTTCTGGAATTTAAATTGCAGATTTGAAGATTTTGTGGGAGGCACAGCAAATGTGCTCTCATATGTGTGCTCAGGCATGCTCTAGAAGCCTGGTTTGTGAATTTCCACCATCACCACCAACACCACCACTACCATCACTACCGTCATCGCCACCATCACCACCAACACCATCATCACATCACCTGTGGATACTTGAAGGCTCCAAGAAAAGCAAAAGTACAAGGAACGATATGAAAAATAGTTCATATACGTTATATCGGTATATCTGTTTTGTATATTTTTCTAGTGTTCTTTTCGTTCTTTTGCCTCAATAATTCTGTCCTGTGGGTACGACCCAACCCCATCGCGTCACCACCACTTCCGTCTGCCCTGCCACCTGACAACGGTGGAAGGGGCCACGATGCGTTATTTTTTCTGGTCACCACGAATTTGATGGGTTCTGGGCCTCACCACCACCATCACCACCTTCACCACCATCACCACCATCACCTCTCTTTGCAACCCAAGACGTCTCCATCCCTAGACCTTCTGCTTCTACACCTCCAGACTTTAGACCTTTAGACACACTGTTTGGGTTCTCTTGCCGGGATAGTAAAGCGAAGATTCCAGCAGCGGGTAAGGAGATGACGGGTTTGGAGTCGAAATGTTGACTTGGTTTTTGTCGAGTCTTCTTTGTGGAGACTTGGCACCATTCTCCGCGTAGAAAGAAGTGAGTCCCAGGTATGCAGAACCGAACCCTCCAATTCTTATTCGGCGTTGGTTTGTATATATTTGGGGTGCACTGCATTTATCTGCATTTTGGGGGATGCCCCAGTGTTCAAAAAATTACTGTACATGAAATTAGAACAAGAAAACGCTGCAACAAAATTTGTTTCTGGGGGTAGGCAAACAGTTGCAGCACAGGAGGGGGGTGCGAACGATGTTGCGAGGTCAGTGCCCGAGTGTCAGCCAACAATCAACTTCTTGGACCGAACAGAGTTGGACTTGTGTTGAGGTTCAAGAGATTTCAAGAGGGAGAGATCCGCATCTGAAGAAGCGCTTACCAAGGAGAGTCATCCGCCTGATGCGCGAGGATCCCAATTTCCAGACTGTTCTTCAGGCTGGCAGACGTGTTATCACAAGAACACTGGGACATAGTGGGACTGGTACAGTACTAATCAGATCTTGACTTGCTTTCCTTTTTGCCACCATCATCATGTATTTCCTAGGCTTACAATGAGAAGCACGCAAGATCGCACCCCTACAGCAGCACCTCCCATCGTTGCTTGCAGCAGTTAGCCACGTCCAACTCACCATTCAGGTGTAACAAGCAAGCATCTCCTAGAAACACCACGGAACATTCGCAGAGAATTAGCTTGGCTCCACAAGAGCTGCGAGGGCCGTAGACCAAATGGCCAAGGGAGAAAATCTGTGAACATGTGAAGATTGTGGGAGTTCAAACTAAGAGTAAGCCCCAAACCATACAACCAGCATTGGCAAAAACAACATATATAAGCCTCGACTCTTGACTTGTAGTTGAATACGGACGAGGTCATGCTTCTGCAAGGCAGGTCAAGCCGCGGCCCTTGATCGGCGGCTGTGCGGCACTTCTAGCTACGAACAACATGGGGAGGGAAGCACAGCGGAGGCATGGTATACAGCGTGCACAATTAGTTTCCCTTCAACAAGCAACAAAACAAACACACACACACATATATATATATATATGTATATAGGAACCAAGTCTCAAAGATTGTAGTGACCCACCCCGGCACCCCACCCCGACATTGAGTGCTTAATAGTCATTAAAAGTGATTGCTAGGAATGAGTCAGAGTTCCTACCGAAGTGCCAACTGTTTTAGAGTGAAGGTTTCAAGCTGGATTTGACCAATGGCGGCGGTGGTTTGAAGAAGCAAGTTCCTCCCGCCACAACCCGAGTGAATTTAGATATATAAGACTTTGGGTGGAACATTGGGTTGGTTTGGGGTTGGAATGTTGCTTAGGGCATACGCAGTGCAAAAGTGTTGTAAACAATGATGCAAAGATTGCTTTGCGTTGGGCCTTGAGGGGCGCGCCAGTTGTGAAGGCCATTCAAGCCGGTTCTCAGTCACACGGGCGCACTGTTCATGCATTATGTATGCAATGTCTAGAGATTATATAAGGCATATATATATATGGCATTTATATGTAATGTTACATTTTTGAGCCAGGGTACGGTTCCAGGGGTTAGTGCTTAAGCCTTTTGAAAGTCATTAAGCCTGAGCCCTAGCCTGGGTCCAAACCTAAGAAGCTACTCTTAGTAGCTTACTACGTCCTTGCTTGTTAGCTTGCTTCCAAGCTCATTTGGCGGCCTAACAATCTATGAACCAAATGAAAGTGCGTGAGCTTTCCTGCGTCACGTCCAGTAGCTAGCAGCGTCCTAGTGTGGACCGTTAAAACACAACAACTGCCACAGAATGACGTCTCGAAGCGTGAAAACAGACAAAAAACATCAAACAAAAGTTCTTCCTTTGCTTTTTTTCTTTGTTCCTAATAGCGATGGCCTCCAACCTGGTAGCGATGGCAGTGGTTCTTGTCAGGTTGCCTTATGACATATGATAGTACCTCAAAGTCCAGACTTATTCTCCTTCAAAATACGTCAATCAATTACATCAATCCTGGCTTCAGGGAAACTTGCAACAAGTTGTAACAACGACTTATTGTTGGATGACCCTTGTCTTAGAGCCGCGCATACCCTGATTCATCAACTCCGCCCCTCCATCCCTCCCCCATTCGGCCTTCAAAAGATTCAAACGGACCAAACACGTTTGTTCTTACATTGCCGTACATGTTCTTTGCCAAACCAGGACCATGATTGGTCAACGTGGCCAGCCCGTGCAGGCCAGTGGCTGTTGGGAGATTTTTGTGCAAAGCTCTTTGCAAAGGATCATGGTCCACAGTCATCAAAGATTCGAAGATTCAGGGAGCGGCTGAACCGGCCAGCTCTTGCATGTTCTTCAAATTTGCTTGTAGATATTTTTGCTCAACACGAGCATGATGCAGGTGAGCCAAACTATCCAGAGTGCGCTGACATCGACCAACTTTTTGATCGAGTTCTTGGAGAATTGCTGGAACCCTACAAGGCAAAACGTTTTGGTGGGGAGCTACAGCTAGAAGAAGCGCTTTTCCATTCTCTCAGTTCTACAGGCAAAATGCTGTCTTTGTTGACAGGACCTCCGGCCAGTCTTCGCAGATCTGGAAGGGGAGCAACTGTGACTGGGACTTGTGGCTACCACAGAAGCCTTCAATGCCTTCATTCTGAGACCTTCAGGTATCAGTATGAAAGATGTTTTGTTCGTGAATATGGGTTGATGGCCGGAAGAGCTTATGTCGAAAGTAGGTGCCTCAACACCTCGTACCATCTCGTACTGTGTGCGATCGAAGGTTCTATCTTGCCATGGGCGAGAATTCGGGCGAGTTCAAAGCTGGTTGCATCGTCCGAGCCAATGTATTGCCCGGGTCTCAGTCTGTGCAGAGCCAAGCCAAGCCAGTCAAGATCAGTCAAGCGTCCTAGCTTAGTTGCTTCTTACCTCCTTCTTACTTAGCTTACTTGCTACCGGCCCACCCCCTCAAAAAGGAAAAAGAACTATAGGAACAAGAAGCTATTAGGGGCTCTTGGCATCGCTACTAGGACCAAGGACGCTACTAGGGGCTCCTGGCCTTACTACTAGGAGCAAGGACGCTACTAGGGGCTCGACTCCTGGCCTTCCTTCTAGGAGCAAGGACGGTACTAGGGGCTCCTGGCCTTACTACTAGAAGCAAGGATGCTACTGGGGCTCCTGGCCTTCCTTCTAGGAGCAAGGACGCTACTAGGGGCTCCTGGCCTTACTACTAGGAACAAGAAGCTATTAGGGGCTCCTGGCATCGCTACTAGGAGCAAGGACGCTACTAGGGGCTCCTGGCCTTACTACTAGGAGCAACGACGCTACTAGGGGCTCGACTCCTGGCCTTCCTTCTAGGAGCAAGGACGCTACTAGGGGCTCCTGGCCTTACTACTAGAAGCAAGGACGCTACTGGGGCTCCTGCCTTCCTTCTAGGAGCAAGGACGCTACTAGGGGCTCCTGGCCTTACTAGGAACAAGAAGCTATTAGGGGCTCCTGGCATCGCTACTAGGAGCAAGGATGCTACTAGGGGCTCCTGGCCTTACTACTAGGAGCAAGGACGCTACGAAAAGAAACAGCAAAAAGATTCCGTCCGATGGTTTCCGAGGCGAGACGAGGAGTTTCCGGACAAGGACCGTCACCCGGATTGCCTTGTCTGGTGACATTCCAGTGAGTGGCAACGTCTTAGAACGTCGAAAAGGGAAATGGACCAAAGACACAAATATATTTATGAAAAGCTGAGCACTTCACAACCAATGCTCATCCCCCACCGGATTGCGGGATCTTTGTAGGTTTGAGCGGGTTACGGATTGTATAAAGGTGGTTTCTTGGTCTAAGGCCTTTACCACCACCACCACCACCACCACCACCACCACTTTGGAATTATTGTTGTGATATTGATGGTGGTAAATATGTAAGCCGATCGTTTACAGCGTACAACATCATTCACACGATGGTTGCTTCAGCGGGATCGCAGAGTTTATGAGCTTTTATCTTGCACACTCACACAACGCACCATTTTTCCTCAACCAACTCGTTGTCTTCCAAGATATGAATTCCTTTCCTTTGCCCTTTTTTGCTGTGCCGACTCTGTTCTTTTTTTTGCCAGCTCCTTTGTGATCCTCATTGGCACATTGTCAGTGGGCAGCATTTTTGGTGCAAACAGACATGTGTTCTTTGCGGCAATTCAGCTGATAATATGACAGAAGACCTTCCCTAAGCAATTGGGTCCAGAGCGTGAAGCTCTTCAGGATTGTTTTTCTTTTTTTTTGTGAGCTATATATATATATATTATAAAGAATCAAGCTGAATGCGATACCAGGCCGGAACCGGCCACAAGTCACCAGTTCAACTAGACGACGAGTGGCCCGAAAGCATTTTTCATCACGTAGGAAGTCAGAGTGCGAGTTATCCGGTAAGTGTGCAGTGAGAAGTGTGAAGTCGAGTGAGTTGAGGTAGTGTGTGGGTTTCTGTGCGTGTGTCTATGTCCGTGTGGAAATGAGTCTGCGTATGTGTGTGTTCGTGTAAGTTGAGGGAGTGTGTGGGTGTCTGTGTGTGATGCGGCCT